CGGAAGAGCAGATCCGAGGCAAAAGAAAAAAGGCAAGATATCTTTCCAGAGTCTATCTTCTACCTCACAGTGGCTGAGGAGTTTTCCTGCTCTGCTGAGTGGTGCTGAAAACTCTGTCTTTTCACCGCAAGGTGGGTGGCAAAGGGGTACAGGAGTATCAACAAGGCACTGTGTGCAACGTGGGAAAGGCTTCTTGTGACCTGCAACCTTTACAGGCAAGACAAAGAGAAAAGGTATGAAAAATGAGGGGCTCCACCAAGCAACCACTCCGCGTCTTCAAGAACATACGTCACTGCCCAGTAAACCCATCGGCCCCTCCTGCCCCCAGCGAGGCAGAGGGTCACAGCTCCTCCCACAGTTAGTGAGCGCTGGCTGGAGGCTGACGCCACCTGACTGGGGCCAGCATACCTCATTTTGGTGCCCAAACACCTCACAGAGACGTGCAGGGTGACACGTTTCGTGAAGGGACAGTAATTCATTAGTAAATTCCGGTCCATATGCCCCGACCCCACTTGCTGTCTGCCCCCTCTGAAGGCTGTGCCTGACCCATTCAGCTGGGAGCGTTTCCCAGCAGGTCCCTTTACATCGAGCACCGCCACCTCCTACGACAGAACCCCGTGATATTTATAACCTGCTCGTTAGAACACATCTCAGCTTTCCAAAAAAGCCACAGAGCGGGTCAGCCGGTGCGGACCTGTCAGCCAGCCTCTGCAGTCTGTGGCAGATGCTCTAGGTATTCATCTCTCTTCTTGGATGACATTTTAAATCACACAAAGGGATTAAATCAAACTGAAGGTGGGTTCTGTATGCTACGAGCACTCACAAGGGCTATTAATTCGTGTCTTATACCTAACGTGACATCCCAGGACGCTGATTCACAAGAACAGCCCCAGCGCTTGAAGGTAATGGTTTATTGGCACAGATACATCAATACTCCCATATTCCTCTCACCCACACATATCAGATGATATACCAGATCAGAAGCTTTAAGGTGGCATGAAAAGAGAGGCTTGCGCTTGGCAGTCCAGGCAGCACTAAAGGAGACGTGAATAAAAATTAGGTAACAGGCCCTGGGACACGCAATCTACGTTGCTGCTTTCCCCTTCATTTGCTTTTATGGGACCTGTGTTCACAGGCACCAGAGTACATTTGCTTTGGACTGAAGCTCGGTTCTGTTAAGTAACATGGTGGGGAGAAAACAGCTACAGCTGAAAAAGGGGATGGGCAGGGCAGAGCGGTCTCATTTTATTCCAGAATCGCAGATTAAGCTCCTACTATGTACAAAAATAATGGCGTTTTGAGCTGTGTGAAATAAGGTGGGACTGGGACAATATAGTTGGAGACCCAGGTTTAAAGGGCTGTTTTAGCAGGGTGGGAATTAGGCCTTGAGGAGGCAGTATCAAATCTATATGTTATATGTCAGGGAAGGCTATCAGATGGGAATTGGCCATTTGGAATGTCTCCCAGGCCCTCTTTGCAGAGTGAGATACCTATCCAGTTACGGAAGCACAGAATTGTCCAGCTATAAGTGATCTGACACAACCTAGTCCACTGGGACACAGAAGAGAAACGGTTTGCTCAGACCTCCACACCTAGTGAGAGGGCGAGCTGGGACCTTTCTACCCAACCTCTCACCTTCCTGACAAAAGAAATGTGAGCCCTCAAACTGAAGTGAAGCTCTAGAAGAAAGAACAAAATATGCATACGAGAAAGGTCTATGTTTTACATCGTTAATATGAAAATTAATATATATACATAATAAAAATCGGATGCGCCCCAGTGCTCCCAGCTAATGAGATTCTCCTAGGAACTGGTTCAAAACTGGAAAGAAAATCTGCTGGCCCAGGTGAAGCAGCCTGGTGTCCAAGGGTGAGGCCTCAGCTGCCCTAAATGAGAACCGATGGGTAGAGAAATTCAATTCCCCTCTGAGGCCGAGGTGTGGTTTCTCCCGTGCAGGACCGAGGCCCTCTGGTGGCGACTGCAGGAAGTCCCCGTGACCGAGAGGACGCCGCACAGGAGGCCAAACCGGTAGCAGCTGAGGGCGTATTCCTGACGCATTGACACTGCCTTTGAGGCAAATTCAAGTTTTTCTCAAACTGCTTCCAGTTTACTTCTGGGAAGAGCTTAGGATTCAGAATCAAATTCTTCGCGAAGCTGGGAGGAATCCTGCTTGTCAACAGCGGATCTGCAGTAACCGCAGAATGTCTCAGAAGGCCTCCGGCTGTGCTGGTCAAGCGGCACCATCAGGACAACCATGAGGCTGCCTGTCCACCCACAGGGCAGGAGGGAGGGGGACTGGAGGGGAGAGATCACCCAGCTTAAATATCAGAAAAGGAAATAAATATCCTAAGCGCAAAGACATACAATTCTCAGCAACTCTTATACCGTTCATACATGTTTTTAGTCACATAATTTTATTCAAGCAATCACTTCCACTGTTGCCATGATAGCAGAAAAAAAATTTTTTAAGCTAGATGGATAATCATGGTAGAAAGGAACAAAAAAAGAAATTAACTTGCAAGAATCACATTCTAAAGGCTATGAAATGCCCCAATTTGAGGGAAATAAACAAAAGCCACATGTTTTCATGTCTCTAAACTCTTAGTTTATTCTTAAAATGTGGAGACCCATGAACTATCTGGAATGAACTGCTGCTTAAAAACTCCACTCCAAAATGAACAGAAGAGAGACAAGGAATTTCCCCCAGTTTGAGGGTTTCTAGAGACCCTCGACATTACGTCATTTGTTCCATTTCAACACCCTTGACAGAGAATGCAATGATGTCAAAATCCAATACGGTAAACTATTCTTAAAAGGAAGGTTCTGGCCAGCATTCGAGCAGCAGGCACTGGCAAGCTGTCAGAACTTGGGGTTCACCTCCTGCACCTCGCTTCCTGAGCTGGGTGCGCTTCCCTCCACGTGGAACGGTTCCCAACAGCTAAGCTCTCACCACGGAGAAAGGGCCTGCAAGTCCCTTGAGCACCAGCTGGTTGTTCAGCCTGACAGGCAGGCAAAACCTGCCAACATCACCAACAGTCCCCAGCCCAGCAGGGAGAGCTCAGGCCAGCGTCCTCAGCCTTGCTGTTGTGCAAACCCAGGCAAAGCAAAGCCCATCCACGGTTCACAGGGACACGTTCTAATCCTCCCTCGACCTACTTCCTTTTTTTCTTCTCTCCTCCCTTTTCCATCAGGTTTCATCCTCCTCCCCCGGAGCCACCTCCTTCCAGGTCTCGTGTGCTGGCCCTCAGGTCAGTGCAGAAGCATGACTTCCTGAGGACACCCAGGGAGGGCACTGACTGGCCAGCACTCGGCCTCCCTCTTGACCCTTCGGGCCCTGAAAGCAGCACTTCTGAAGGCTGGTCTCTGAAAGGTACATTCTGACGGACAAACCTACAATCGAACCAAGGGGGAAACATACACGGGAAGGAAGCCAGAGTTCCAAAATCCAAACCCAAATGGAAAACCAAGGCTGGGAGAAACTCGGAGACCGGAGAACTATTTCCCCTTGAGATGGGCAGCTATTTCAACTGCAAGCTCAATATATGTTTTTTTTTTTTTACATTTTTTATGTTCACTTCTTGGGAGCAGGGTGGGAAAATACGATTCTTCCCTTAACCTGTCCTTCCATATTCTCTTCTAACCTCAGCGTTTGGCCCAGGCCACCAATGCACTCAAATCAATCTCAACTGTCATTGTCATCACAAACTCAAAGTTCTGATGTGAATAAAATACTGGATGTCAAATTCCTGGGTAACAAGGGAAAGGTACCACTGCCAGCGTAGGTTCAGTATTTTTTCTCCTTCTCTGTGGTGGAGAACTTTATAACTAAAGATCAATTTTAGAACAAGTCAACACAGTAGATCTCTCAGAGCTAAGAAATCATTCGGCTTTTTCCACGTTCTTTCATACCAACTGGCGCTTCTGAATCTCTTAAGCAGTAGGTTATTTCAATGATTACTGAGCACTGTTACATTTCGGGTTCCAGGCTCATCCTTGAGGATACACTGGTGAACAAGGGACAGCACCAGGAAGCTTGGATGGCTTCACATCCCCCATAAGAACATAAGCGCCTTGAGGACCAAGATCTTTGTTTTGCTTACTGCCATATCCCAAGCCGCTCAAACAGAGCTGGCATCCAGAAAGTGCTCAATAAATATGTGTTGAATGAATGAAATTCAGAACTACCATGAGCTGAGTGAACCACGACCCCGAGGGGATGTATTTTCTACCTGTTTCTTACCCGCTTCGTTCTCACTGCACATGGACTGGCAGGCAGCACAGCAAGCTCCCTTTAAACAGAATACGTCTCATACATCCTCAGTTGTGTTTGTAGCATGGGTGCCTGGGAGAGCAGGGACATGCCTGTAGCAAGCAACGTACCCAGGCATGCCCAGCCTGCCAGCTTCTAGAGGGTTGTGTGGATATTGAGGATTTCGAGACTTTTGAAAAAACCTTTCAGACCGTTCAGGGAAACCTTGCTGCCCAGGTGCCTTTCCACATGCTCCTCTCTCTCTTTAAAGAGTCCTAAGTCATCCTTCAAGACCCAGGTCAAAGGTCACCTTTGAGAACCTTTTGTGAGCTTCCCCAGGAAGACACGACACTGCCTCCTGGTGTTGCCAACAAGTTTGTACTTTTTTTTTTTTCTTTTGGCTGCGCTGGGTCTTCCTTGCTGCAAGTGGGCTTTCTCTAGTTGGGGCAGGAGGGGGCTACTCTTTGTTGCGGTGCGG